TCATCACTGACGCTAAAATAACCACAATTATAAACCTAACTTACTGTGAAATTAGCTAAGGATTATGCCTAAGGCGGTGGGAGGAGTACTTACAATTATGCTCTGCTCCTATTTCTACTGAGGCCTTTAAAGAATAGAGCACAGACAAAACGAACTGCTATCCTATAGAAAACATATGCTTCATTTTAAGTAGCCTGGTCTCCTAGGATCTAAGAACCACAACTGCGAATTATGTGGGACGGCCGACTGGCCGAATGTCACAAGTGTTTATCTACCTGACGGTTTATCACCCGACCTTTAAAAATTCGTATTAGAGACCAAGGTGCTTAGTCGTTTTGCGGAATGTCTATCACATAGTAATTTATCTCAACGATATGATCAACGCGGTTGCTTGGGCCAGTTATATTTCCGTCAGGTTTCGAAAAACGTGCGTCAAACATATGCACACTTTTAGCAATAATTAGGGGAGTGGGGGAGAGGAGTTAATGGATCAAATGGTCACAAATTCTAGGCATAGTTTGGGACCAGAGGGGGAGGAGGAAAGGCCTCCGACAAATAGTCCGTGTCGCCCCGTCGTTCCAGTCTCCCGTCTTGTTGGGAGGGGGCGGGGGTGAGGGGGAGTCATAACGCAAGGTGTCACGGTCTCGCGATGGCATGCGTCCCCACGCTGCCTGTGCCGTCGCGAGACCGTGGCACCTTGCGTTCTGACATCCCCCACTCCCCCCAACAACACGCGGTACTGGACCGACGTGGCAACACGAACTAATTGTCGGAAGCCTTTCCCTCTCCGCCCTCTGGCCCCAAACTATGTCTACAATCTGACCTCCTAACGCCTCTCTCCACTGCCCCCAATTATTACTGATTAGTTGCTTAAACTTTTGTTAATTCTACCCTCCCTTGTATTATTTTAATAGCCTGATGATGAATAATCGAGAAGGTTCTTTCGCCTAACTTGACTTCTTGAATGCCTCCATGGGCATCATCACTGAAATTAAGTTTTTAGTCTTAAATAATGGCTAAATCTAAGCTATGCAGGTACCTGAAAAAAACTGTAAAGCCTCCTCGACAATAAAAATGAACGCCATATCAATGAGAGGAAAATGTATACTCTACCTCCCTCCGTGTACCTTGGACTTATCGGATCAACTGTTTCGTAGTGCAGTACTTTATACCTTTTTACAGAGTATTGCCTTCATCTAGTCTCGATTCTTGACTTCCTGTAACTCGAACGACATTTTGCAATCATTTCTGAACGTGCGGAATACGCCTCTGTTATTCCTTTTTATTGCTATATGGGTCCAAATGTGTTTTCTTTTGGGGAAAATTTGGATGGTTTGAATGACTTGTGGCTGGAGATAACGTGAACCATTACATATATATATATAGCATATGATCTTAGTGAGAATTCCGTTCAACCATCCAATTACGACCAACGCTCTTGCCATTGTGCGATGGCCTAGATTCCACGAAACGGCACCTTGGGACGAGCACGTCACGTAACACAATCCGTGAGTTCCAATCCACCATATTCAATATATCCAATCAAACACCGAAAGAACAGCAAACTTGTGGCTCAATGGCAAAGAACAGAAGTTCAAATCTCGAGGTCCGCATACCTGGGGTTGATTAAGGCGACAAATGGGCTTTCTCAATATCCCTGGTTTTTATTGATAGGTGTTTCAGCATATAACGGCCCTCGGGAATTATTTATTACTCCTGAAAGCGCCCTCTTCCAGATTAGAGCTGTGTAGCCGAATCACATGAGAGGCGGTATGCTTTCGCAGATAAAAGGAAATTTAAAAGTATGTAGTTAGGCCGTCTCGCCATTATTCGGATGCCTCTTGCTTTCCCATCTTTTGAGTGCTTGGTAAAGACGGCCAAATAAAAGTAAGCAATGCTGGAAAATGGTTGTATATTAAGGAACTTTAATTTCCAGTGCTTAATAACGCACAGCAAGGACATAAAAAAAGTTAGAAGAAGGCATAGCGCCACTCCAGACGAACAGATTGGTCGCGGATGCTTAGCAGCAACTATAAATGGTCAATTAGTTTGCTAGTCTTAAGGCTCAGTTTAATGTGACACTAAAGAAAGGAACTAAACAACTTTTATTCACACGAGCTGAGGAACTAAAATAAGTAGAATTTTATTTTAAAAATCCTACCATTGCCTTCAGCGTCCGGTTTGTTAACAGTAAACGTGTTTCAAGAAGTAGGTTACGCTACTGATCACAATCTGCCGATCTGAAAGCTCTCGTATTGGCAATTAACTGCGCACAAATCGTAAGCACTTAGTTTAGTGTTTTGGGAAATGTGCGTGACATTTTCACGAGAATTTTTACCCAGTAGCTCCACTGATGTTACCGAAAATCTGTTTATTGTTAAATAACTCAGAAATGATAGTATATTCTGTGGTTTAGAAATAACTTTGCAAAATTTACGAAGAAAGATTTCAGTGACTGTTCTTTTTTAGCTTATTTTTTATAGGCAGACGTAAACAATAACAGAGAATCTGAACAGATCGCTAGTTTTGTTTTGTTTAAAAGTGTTGAACTTTTGTGTGGCTTTCAGTAATTCATCAGAGATTGCAGTTAGATCCTAACTATTTTGACGCAGATAGATGCGTGCACAAAAAGGTCCCCCAACGTACAGTAAGCGCCAGAATTCGTGCAACATGCCGACGTATGCGGAATATTAATACTCTCTCGCTACTCGGCATTGGCGCAGGTTGTGATAGTGATTATCATTTAGCTTATTCTGAAGTTATTTCAGTCATGATGGGATGTGGGCTTTTTAACGAGCATCGTTCTGACCACTAACGAAACGTATGTACTGTAAAATGTACCTACTTAAATTGTACGCGTTTTTATCCTTGATTTTGGCTGCCCCTATACATTCAAATGTGTTTTATGGAAAGCATGCACGAAAAAATTATTTCTTCTACCCGTTTGGTAGCAAATTACACCTTCTTTAAATTTTACACAATATACGATAATCAGTAACACAGCCTGAGTCAATGCCGACTAGCGAAACAATATCAATCTTTCACATATGTCGGCAGTTTGCACAAATTGTGCCGCGTACTGTACCAGACCAAATAGCTGTCTTGCGTCTGCGAGGACAAACAATAGGTTATTGCGTGGACGTAAACACCCGCCAAGGTAAAACTAACTTTCCCAAGCACTCACCTTTTTCGCCTTGGCGCAGAAGAAAAGAGTGCTCTTTCAGATCTCTTCAAGGTGCACCTATATCTCCACTTGCTCCCGTGGGTTGAAATTATATTGGTTGAAGGATTAGACAACTATCCAAGCGGGTACGAGTGTACCACCCTGTTAGCTAAACCAACACATAGAAAACTTCATCCCCTGGTCAGTTGTGGCTCACTTTGTTGACAGCGGTCACCAGTTACACTTCAATCAAGCATTCTGAGTCAAACATAATGTGTTGGAATGACAATCCAAGTGCTGCGTCACTGGAAACTTGTGACTTCAGAGGCAGTGACCAGACGGTTGGTCAACCCAATACTGTGCTCGCACAAGACGTTCATGCAGGTCCTAAGGTGGCCCTTACCAAAAATGAACCGAGTAAACTTATTTCACCTCCTCCCATTTCGCGCTACAGCGCCGGAAAAGAGACGTAGCTGACCGCCAGACACCTTTTTCCCCATCCCTTCTCCATCCCAACCTCTGACGGAACTAGACTTTTAACCGGATTTCTTACCTTTTCAAACCCTCCCCCCCATCTGTACATTTCCTTGGCATTATAAACTTGTGCTGCTTCACCCGCCTGTATATTACTATACAGGCCTGAAGATGCATTATCGAAAATGGACGGTAGGTCGAACTGACACTGAAGCAGAAACTCATTACATTCTAAAAGTTCAAAAAGGAGGGAAGTAGTACACCTTTATCAACCTCTGCTGATATTTCACTGGGTTGTTAGTTGGATAAATCCAATTTGTCAAGCAGAACTTTAGGATATATTCCTAGCAACATATGTCCAAGAATTTGCAAACCCGAAAATAAGTGGAATAGTCGCTGATTCAGCACTTTGCATTGTATGTCATAAACTCATGGGCATTCAAAAAAAATCAAATTCTAGATCTTATATGTCCGAAAAGTGTCCGTCAGAGTAAGCTCGTGCAATAAAACGCTCTTTTAGTGCAATAATACATAAGCCTACTGATTAGCTAAAAGTTCCCTAAAATCGTCTGCCAGGCTCTTTGCAGCAATTATCTACAGAGCGCATTCTGCTGCATTATCTGGCCTGTTAATACCCTTAGCTAAGCTAATATGCCATCTTTGGTGTTCCATTTAGTAATTATTTTGACCAGTAAAACAACATGCACAGTTGGGTGGATTATAAATGCAACAAACGTGACATTTTCTAACACGATTTTAACTCACAGTACTGGTTGCTGCAGTCAATAGAGTCGGAGAGTCCACTTTTACAGAAGTGCAGGACCGATTCCAGATGACGGGAAGGCAGTCCAGACCATCGCTTGTCAGTATTTTCCTGTTGGCGAATGCATTTCCTTCAGTGGCACCAGAAAGTTCTTCCAGGCTCTCAGAGGCAGTCCTGTTGTATGTCGTCCCACTTTGAGGCCGTTGATTTCCTTCGCCCTGCTGAAGTCGCATATTCTTTGCATAGCAAGCAAATTGAGCATTCTGTGCCAACGCAGCATCCTGAGTCATGTACATTCCATGATCAGGATGACTGGGGGACTTTATGAGAACAGAAGCTGATGGGGAAAGTGGAGAGTACGAATTTTCTCTCATCGCCTGCGCTCTTGGGACCTCGGATGCCTTATAATAAACATTGCAGTCAGAAATAAGTGTTGAGGGGAAACTGCACTTCAGTGCATCCTCATCCAGTAGGTGCGATGAAAGACCAATTATGGAGCCGTCTCCGGTACAGAGCCACTGGTCTGTTTTCTGGTTACGTGCGGGGGAGAGGCAGGTCTCAGTCGGCGGACC